TTTTTTAGTTTCTTGAGTGAAATTTTTTACTCTTCATTATTTTGTTTACTTTATAAACTTACATATGAATTTTTAAAAAGTTGCATGCGATTTTTTTATGATATTTTTTCTGTACTGAAATGTTTTGCTATCACTGTTATTATTTTTTTGCGTTGTGTTTCCCACCATTTCCACTAAAACCACACTGATTTATGCCGCTTTGCTACACTTTAGACACACGCACCCAACCCCATCTCACCAAGCACCTTAATCCCTCTCTCGTTTAAAGATTACCCAAATTTATGTTAATACCTCTTACACAATATACTTGTTGCTTTGGTCTCAAAATAATTTTCGAGCGTTTTTCTAACAATTTCAGTATCGATTAATATACACTTATGTAGTTCTTCACATGAAAACGCGCGAAAACAAAACACTTTCGTTGCCGTTACCGCTTCGCTGACGACTGACCGTCCGATCATTCCAAATAGATCGAGTTCACGCTGCTCGATTAAATTTTGCAGCTCTGTGTTTTTATTTTGCTTTGCCATTTGCTCACAAATTAAAATTTTCTGAAAATTGTTCGCATTTTCTACAACATTTTCTCCGATATTTTTCCGCTGCTCACTCGCATTCAATATTGCCATTGCTATTTTTATTATGAATGATCATAGATGGCCACCACACATAAGTGTGTACATATCTACAATTTAGATATATAATTGCTTTGGTGAGCCGTATTGATCGTGCGCTAGATTATGCTCAGCGCGAGTATCGTTCTAGCGTTTTAGCATGTATTCTAGCACAGCTCAGGCACGGAATGATCAACATGTGTTGCTGCGCCTCTTTGTTTCTATTACGGAGCGAATTTACACCCGCTAACAAACGTATGTACATACTTATATACTCGTACATACATATGTATGTATATATGTACATATGTTTGGATGGCAGTTTGTTGAGTGTTCAATTAAACGCTTAACTGGATGCTTTTTGTTGATCTTGTCCATGCTTTTGCTTAGTACTAAACGACAGCGAAAAATTACCAGCACATAGTCTGATTGATAATTAGAAATGCAGCCGTGGGAACACCCCCCACACGCCAGTGCGTATAATGAATATAAAAGAAGAAAATTATGGGGGAGATATGTTCAGAGTTCAATCTTAGGTGTGAGAGAGAAGAATGTGAGTTGTTATCTCAGCACATAAGTGAATTTTATAATGTAAAAATTACAGCATTATATTGTTTTATGTTACTTCATTTTCTGTAAATTTTTTTCACCCTTGTAATAAAACTCTATAATTCTCAACAGATTCATACAAAAATTGCTAATATTATTTGGTTTAGAAAATCAAATTTCGTTCACTAAAATAGATCGGAAAACAACATATTTTGTGAATAATGAGATTTGAGACGTACAATTTAGAAAGTAAAAAAAAATATATATATATAAAACATGCCAAGCCTAAAGAATGGCTACTGTGGATAAGAGCAACATTTTAACTTTGCGAAAAGCATACGGAAGATCAGTGAAAGTGAAAGAGTTTGATTCAAGAAGTCCATCGTCGGGGATTTTTTGAAACATTTTCAAAGCAGTAAGTCTCTGAATAGAAAACTAGACTCAGTAGCAGCAAGGAAAACATCGTCTAGTGAGGATAGGCACATAGAACGCATTAGCCTAAAGGATCGGTTCAAAACCGCCAAAGACATCAGGAGAGAGATCATAAAAGATCTTGGAGTCGATATTAATGGTAGAATTATACGAAACAGGTTTAAACGCTCGACGACCGATATATACCGAAAATGCGTAAACAACGCCATCGGTGACTATAAAGCAACAAAGCTGGACTAAAGTTGATTTGCAGGGAGTAATCTCCTTTGACGAGTCCAAGTACAAGTTATGTTGCGACGAGATGTCCTACGTAAGTAGAAAAACTGGTGAACGCTATGGCAAAGGAATAGAAGGAGCATTTTTCGTAAGAAAACGATCTAATCATGTCATCGTGCCAAAATGTTAGGCACATTTTCTCTAGTCAAATGAAATTTCGACGTTAAAATGGCCAGGTAACTGCCCAGATATAACTCTATTGCGAAGCCTTGGTGTATTATGAAAACTAAGGTAGCAGAAGAGACCAAGTACCCTAGCTGAGTTGGATGAAATACTGTTGGATGTCTGGTATAACGGAATCGATTTATTAATCATTGCAAAACCACCAAAATATACAAAAAATACTAAACTCACAAAAGATTAAAATCTAAGCCGAAAAAAATATGAAAAGCAATAACTTTTTAACTGTCCAGATTTCAATTTCCGCCACTGTATATATATTTTTTTCTTTTTCTTTTTAAATTTGAAACAATTTTAAACAGAAAAATCGGCTATGGTATTAAGGCAATCCAAAACATTTCATAATTAATCGGAATGAAATCCATAAACATGAAACTACATGAAATTCTGTAAACGATTATTACTATTTTTCCTTCAAAGAAAATTGACAAAAAGCGCAATTTTTCTTACTTTCAACTGAAAAGTGGCTCCAGAAAATCAATCATCAAGGATCGGTATGCTAAATTTAGAAGTGTGAAATGAGCACCGGAGACAGAGATGGCAATGCACGCCTGAAGGAGGTTGTTACCGGTGAAAACATCAAAGAAGTTCACAAAATAATTTTTAGATGCCTGTAAAGTGAAGTAGTTCGAGATAACAGGCACTCTAAAGATATCAACTGCATATCTGCATCATATTATTCATGAATATTTGTGACTTGAGAAAGCTCTATGTAAAGTGGTTGCAGCGCGACCGCACTTTTGACCAAAAACAACGAAGAGCTGATTATTCGGGGCACTGTTTGGAGCGTACGTGGTAAAGTGGGAGAAACCTGGATCCATTATTTCACTCGGAAGTAAAATTGACAGTCAGGCATTGGACTGCCCACAATAAATCCGGAAGAACCATCAAGCACAACTATTACATAGCGCTATTATACGGTTTGAAGGACGAAAACGTCGAAAAATGGCCAAATTTAAAGAATAAGGAAGTGCTATTTCATAAAGATAAAGCACCGTGTCACAAATCAGTGAAAACGATGGCAAAAATGCATGACTTGTCGTTGGTATGCTCCAGATTTGGCCTCTAGCCTGGATCTCAAAAGAAAGCTTGCTGGCATGAATTTGTCGTCGAATGAAGATGTGATCGCCGAAACTGAGGTCTATTTTGAAGTAAAGGACAAATCGTACTATGAAGATGGTATCAAACATTTGTAGGGTCGCTATAATCAGTGTCTTAACCTTGAAGGGAATTATATATTGAATAAAGTAACGATTTTGCAAAAAAATGCCTTTTACTGAAAGCGGAGGACTTTTCAATTGGAAAAAAAAAAACGAAAACAAAAACGTGAGTTTTGGCTCCAGCAAAGTTATAATACCCTTCACATGTGGATTTATTTATAGGCCAGAGGATACAAACATACCTTTGCATTGATTTTGAGCATTTTTTTTTTTATTTATTTTTTTTTTTATTAAAAACAACTTTAAGTATATATGTAGATTGATAATTATTCCAAATAATTGCAGTAGATAAAATCCTATCTTAGTATGTATGTATATTTCTATATTTGTATGTTTATACAAATATTTACCCAGACTCATTCGCTCCATTAGTTTTGTGGAACAGAAGATAAGTCTGCAGAATGCGAAAAAGTAGCAAAATAAAACCAACAAAATAGTTTTGAAAATATCAACAAAGGAATTGGAACAGCAAAAACAATAACAAATGCGGTGAACGCTGGTAGAGGCCGAGAGTGATCAAGCGTGTGAGATCAACAATAATAATAACAGAAGGTAAATTGGAATGAGCACTAGTACTTGTAGGCCATTGTACATACCATATGTGCTTTGGATTTTATATATTTGTTTGTAATTGGCAAAAATAATTTAAGCACATGTGGAGCATAACAACAACAATGGCGCAAAAACTGGGTGTGGTGCGAAAAACTGCTTTGGAAGAGAACCGAAAGTACAATGCATAACAAATGTACACATTAGCAAGGAAAGAGTGTTAGAATTTTGATGTAAACTTTGTATGACTAAGTATAAAATGTAAGTTCTTTGGAGGACTATCACACCTGCTTTTCACGTACTACTTTTTGGAAACCTTAACTGACGCTATTATTTTTGTATGGTTTTTTCCTGTCAATCTATAGAGGGAGCATAGATCATACTAAGCCATCAGATTGCCAGCCATCAAATAAAAATATATACAAGAATTATAAGGTCGCTGCAAAGATTAAAGTGTTTTTGACATCAGTAGATAAAATCAATAGGGATGTTATTAATCTATGCCAGTTATAAGCATCCACAAAGGACCCCTTAGGTTTGGGTAGTGGAAAAAGTCTTGTCGTATTTTTCAATGGGTGTCGTTGCAGTCGTATACCTCCAGTGATACCAATCACATTGTGGCATACCATATAGTGTTGAAAAGATGAGATTTTAAATTTCAACGAAAATTAAATTTGGAAAAGTTGAAAAAAAGTTACAGCCGTTCAAAAATTAAGAAAAATGTATTTTAAAATTTGTATATAAAAAAGGGAATAATGCCACGCAAACCAGCAATGAAATTTGTGAAGTATACGGAGATGATGCTGATCAGTTCGTGTAGCACAACAAACAAATCTTGAAATTTCGACGTGAAAGACGCACCTCGCTCTGGTCAATTTATCGTTTAAAAAGTCGATGAAAGTATGAAAAAGATTGACCAAGATCATCTCATAAGCAGCCATAACATCGCTAAGGAACTTAACATTCATCGCCAAACGGTTTTGAATCATTTAAAAAGGCTGGCTACAAAAAGAAGCTCGATGTTCGAGTACCACATGAGTTGTCTGTGAAAAATGTAATAGTCCGAATTAACATCTGCGATTCTTTTTCTTTTTGAAATCAAACCATCGAATCATTTCTGATGCAAATATTAATAGGAGACGAAAATTGGATCAAATACGACAATAATGCGCGAACATATCATGCTCCAAGCGTGCTGAAGCTCATAGCCAGGATTGACGCCTCGAAAGTTTATGCTGAATGTTTATTGGGATTGGAAAGGAATCATCTGCTATGAGCTGCTTCTCCCTGTCGAACAATGGATTCTACATCTTACTGTCAACAATTGATGAGATCTTCCATCAGGACAACGCTGTCCACACACATCTTTGATAACTCGCTTGGCTGAGAAGTTTTGATTCATCCACCATATAGCCCTGACCTTGCACTATCGGTCTACTATTTGTTTCGGTCAATGCAGAACTTCCTTAATGGAGTAAAGTTGGCTTCAAGAGAAGTCTGAGAAAATTATTTGTCACAGTTTTTCGCCGAGAAACCAGACAATTTTTACACTAAAAATAAATAATAATATCTCTAGCGAAAAAAGGAAAAAATTGGTCAGACAACATGGTACATGATTGGTTCATTAAGTTATATTATAAATATAAAAAAAAACACAAGTTGAAATTTAATTAGAAATACGAAAAGACTTTTTCGACTACCAATATTTTGTCACTACTCCCCAAATAATGAAGTACTTTCCGACCTTCAATAAATGCAAAACCAAGAAAACCGATATCAGGCGGATAATTCAAGTATCTTTTACGGAAATCAATTTAAGTGAACTAGCCTTACATAATCTTCAAAACCGAACGAATTTTTATAA